GGGGAGATGGGGCATTGGCAGAGGGGCACCCTGGCCCTCCACTAGGACCATAAAGCTGCCAGCCAGTGGTGAAAAATCTGTCTTCCTGCCACAGGGACATGGGCAGCCATGGAGACGTAGTGGCAAGGCTGATTTAAGGCAAGGATAGAGAGAGGGAGGGAGAATGAAAAAGAGAGAGAGAGGGGTACAGTTTTGTTTCTTTGCATTGCTTTGTCCCCCACAGATTTGTCACCCCACTTCCCCTGGGTGACAGAGATGCAGAGGATTACTCAAAGCCCATCTCTTCTGAGCAGTGAGAGGCCCCAAAGTGGTTAATCTCCCACCGGAACCCTCAAGCAAGAGGGATCCCTTCCTTGGGAAATTAACACCAAATTGGGGTTCTCTTCCTGCATTTATTTTCCAGACCAGGAAGTTATAGGAAGAGAACAAAGGTGGGGTTATAGTTTAACAGTATAGGTTGGTAACTTTCAGTGAAACAAGCCAGATGATATTCCAGTAGACAATTTAGTGGTCTTATCAACACAAGCTTGATCTTAGCAAACATTCCTTTTTTTAAATCAATTTCTCAGTATCTTCACATAATAATCAGTAACTAGTCTGTCTTTGAGCCAGCAACCTGCTGTGCCACAATTCTTATCTTGCAACAGAGACTTATAGCCTGAGGAAAATTTCCTGTCCTTGCAACGTCAATATTTGAAACTGCAAGGCTTTGGAAAACCAGGCCCTGTGAAGTACATATGCTTTTTAGTATATTCCACAGCACAGAGCCAGAGAGATGGAGACCCAGACCCAGAAACAGAGACATGGGCAGAGAGAGAGATATGCACAAACAGTCAGAGACAGGGTGAAGAGAGATATATGCAGAAGCAGAGAGATAGTGACAGGGAAGTCAGAGATACAGAGAAACAGGTGACAGTCATAAAGGTGCAAAAAGTGTGAGAAAAAGGCAAAGATAGAGACCAGAGACACAAAGAGATAGAGATGCAAAGTTAAAGACACAGATCCCAAAATAGAGGGAAACAGGAGAGTTGATAAATGTGTGAAAGAGATGGAGACAGGGACAGAGTCACAGAGAAGGATGAAAGAAGGCTAGAGAACCAGAGAGATTTTACACAGACACAGAAAAAAGAGGACAGAGACAGTGAGAGAGACAGCTGAGAGTCATCAGGAGACAGTACAGAGACACCTAGAAAATCAAAAGGAGGCAGGGAGAGACCCTGGTCCCCTGGTCTCAGTCTCTCCTGTGACCCAGAAGCTGTGTGTGCATGTGTGTCTGTCTGCACATATGTACACTCCCGTGTGCTTATGTCATACGTCCTGCAAGTGCACGCTTGTGTCTGAGAGCTTGGATGATGCTCACCTGAATTTTCCACTCACTCACTAGTGGGTGCCTGTGGGGTGCCAGGCTCAGCTGGAGGGCAGGAGTGACAGTAGACAGGGTCACTCATGGAACCTCCCCAAACAAACAGACATCAGAGCTATGCAGAGATTTAAAACAGCGTCATGTGAGAGAGAGCCACCAGGGGCAGCTCTAAATCTGGTGGCCAGGGAAGGCCACTCTGGAGAGTTGACTTCAAAAGTGAGACCTGAATATCAAAGGGCCAGGCTGCAAAGACCAGGGGCAAACCCTCCCAGGCAGAGGGAAGAGTGGCACAAAAGCCACAGAGAAAACCATCTTGGTGAATTCAGGGTTGAGAAAGGAAGCTAGGGGTCCACAGCCCTTGGGGTGAGGTGGCTGGACAGGAAGACAGAGACCAGATCATGAAAGGCTCATCAAGGCCAAGGGAAAGATTTTGGGTTTTAGTCTAGGTACAAACTAGAACTGGAGGACTGAAGCAAAAGAGTAAAAGTAACTGATACGGGTTTGGAAAGATCTTACTGGCTGCAGGCTGGGAAGTAAGAGGTAGTGGATCCGAGGCAGCCAGGTGGATCAGTGGGGAGGCTCTTGCAACAGTCCGGGAAAAAATGATGGTGGCTTGAGTGGGGGTGGTAGCTGTGGAGGTGGCAAGAAGTGGATGGATGTGGGCTGTGCTGTGTGTGTAGAAGTGACAGGACTGGATGGGGGTTATAGGGGAAAGGAAGGATCCATGCTTAGGTTTTTGGTTTGAGCATCTGAATTAATTATGGTGGCATTTACAAGGATGAGGACGGCAGGGAGCAGCAGATCTGTGAAGAGTGATCAATCATGTATGATACGTCGATGTGTATACATGTGTACCCATGTGCACATGCCGGGGCCTAGGATTGTATGTGTGTATGTGGGGGCTCCAGGTCCACTGTAAAAGCCCAAGACATTCAGCCCACCTCTGCTTGGATCATGGGGGCCCCTGGGACTGTCCTGGGACCAGGCCCTGTCTTGGCTTGTCACTCTTCCCCAGCCCCAGGGGCTGCCCAGGCCAGAGGGGGATTCCCCAGTGGCCAGCTGGGGTAGTGGGAGGGCGTTGGGGCACTGCCAACATCTAGGCATACTACCCCAAGCCCAGGAGGCCTTGGTAGCCCCACCCAGCAGCAGCAGGCAGACTCCAGGGCAGCTGGTGGCAATTAGCAGTGTTGATTACTTCGTGGTGATGCCATCTGGGGTGAGGGCACTGAGCCCAGCCCCACGGGATACCCTGCTTTCTGGAGTGCAGGGCTTTCCAGGGCTGAATGCATGTAAGGGTGTCAGCATAGCTGCATGTATGTAGATGTGTACAGGGTGTGCACATTGGAGTGTTTCTGTGGAAGCAGTGTCTGTGTGCACACGTGTCTGTGCAGCCGGTCTGTGGGCTTTTCTACTTGCATATCCATAGATGTCCACGTCCCTGTGGCAGGAAGACCCAAGCATAGGTATTTCCCAGGCTTGGTTGTTCTTGTGAGCACTCTTAGGGTGCTATGCAAAGTGCAAAAGCATTTGAACTCTCCCTTCTCAGGTCCCTCTATCCCTGGCTCAGGCTGCTCTGGCCCAGCCATCCCCTCCTGCCTGGGACCTGAGTGGGGGGAAGGGTGGGAGTTGCCAGGATGGCACAATGGTTAGGAGCTCATGCTGTAAGTACAGGCTAACTGGATAGGAGTCTCCGCTCTGCCACTGACTAGCTGTGTGATCCCGGACAAGTTGTGTTGTTCTTGTGCTCCAGGTTTTCCCATCAGTAAGATGGGGATAAAAAGAGAATTCCGCCTCATAGGGTTGTTGTAAAGATTAAAGGAGTTAGCCTGTGTGACGTTCTTAGAACAGAGCTTGACCTCTATGTGTTTCCTATTTTTCCCAAGTGCCCGCCACTGGGGCAGCACCCGATGCTGCCCATCCCTCAGGCCAGAGGCTCAGAAAGCCCCACCCCCCGGCACTTCCCGCCTGCTGAGCTCAGCACTTCCCAGGCCCCACCACTGCCATGGCCACATCTGGGCCCAGCTCTGCATAGGGACCACAATGGGCGCCTCCGCGGTGAGGTTGGGGTTTCCACTGACTCAGCGCCTCTGGGTCTGGAGGCGGGAAATCCCAGGCCTGCTACCCTCCCCCACCTGGGTTAGATGGGACCACAGGGCTATGGCTACACCATGTTGCTTCAACAGAAAGCACCCCCATGTCCCCCCCAAAATCAAGCCCGCCAGTTTCTTCCACTTCAACCCACTCATCCATTCCTACCATTCATGGGCTTCCCGAACGTACTTGTCTGTGGTTGCTCAGCTAGCTTTGGTTCCAAGAAATTTGCATGCTACCTCCAGAGGAAGACCTTGGGGAGGCATCACCTTGATCAACCCCGCCGTCTCTGCACAGAACTGGAAACATTACCTGCTCTGTCTTCCTCAGAAGTCCAGCCTTTCAACCAACTTCAATTCCTCTTGCTACCTCGGACTCTGAATATAAAGGACCCCTCCCCTTCCCCATCACTGGTGTATGAGCTTAAATCCCAGCGCCATCCCCAGCCTCCACCTCAGCCCCTGCCAGGGATCACACTCATCATGATAATAGCAGCAAATATTTACTGAGCCCCTCTTACGTGCCAGACCACGTGCTAAACACTGTTACAGACTTTAACTCGTTTCCTGCTCACAGGGAGGTATATATTATCCTTCTCCCATCTTCCACATGAGAAAATGGAGTTATAGTGAAATAGTAAGTTGGAAGCCACAAAGCTGGGGGGTGGGGTGGGGAGGCAGGGATTTGGGCCCTTCCAACCTCATGGAGTAAGGAGGAATAAGGGGGACTCAGCGGTTCCACGTCTCCGGGAAGGAGCCACAGCAGAGGGAGTTAGTTTAGCACGCCCCCCCCCCC